CTTATGAAGGCCACCATCCACAGGAGCATTCTGGTCCTAGTCGCGCCCAAATCCTGCGCTCTTCCAAAGACAATTTTGGATCCGTACATTCCAGTTCGTCCAGTGTTACAGCTCCCCAGCGTTTACGTGTTGAAGCAAATGGCACAAGACATGCTTCAGAAAATCAGTTTTTTGAAGATAAACGTCGTGACCAAAGGCATCCTAGTCATACTAACCGAATTCGAAGCCAAAGTCTGAACGATTGGAAAGATATTCATTCTGTACCTACCCAAACGCGTTCCGGGAGAACTCGTTCTCAAAGTCTACGACATTCCAAAGAATTAGAACCTGTGCAAGCTCCGCGAGAGGGTAAATCCCTGGATCAAAGACCCAATATGCCATCCATAAAGATATTCCATGCAAACGATCATATCCCTATCGCGCCGCAACTATCTAGAAAGAAGAGTCAGCAGTGTCAATCGTCCTCTGTCATGCGCTTGGATGATGGCATTTTTGGGTCTTCAATATCTATCACGCGGTCTGGATCACCAGTGCCGAAATATTGCCTGGCATTATTTTCTTCGAATATGATGAACGAATCTTGTCCGGATTTGTCAGCAGCCGTATCTCCCACAAAGAAAGCTGTACGGTTCGAGTTTGATGATCCGAAGCAGTCCAAGCGTCGACGAAGGGCAACCAGCTTCAACAGCCCTTTCGATATCCAAGACGTTGGTCGTCAGCAGTTGCTGCCAAAGCCGATCCTTAAGATTACCCAATACCATAGCGCTGATCGATTGACTTGTTTCAATACAGACAAGAAAACCAACCCGTGTCGTTTAGATTGGACAGCAAGCACGAAGCTGGACCACGCAAGAGAGAGCATTGTTTAAGACTCTGGTTTTAGACAGTTTTTTTTTTAGCATAATTAGCGGAATTGTTTGTATGCAAGTGATATTAATGCGAAAGCCTCAAAGGTTAGAAGACGTGCTCGTTTATTCTGTAAATACGCGCTAACAAGCTAATTACAGGCGAACTCATAGTTGTTCCTTGCAACTTACACGGAATGGTTGTACGTACCTCATTCCTGATCTTAGCGAGTCCTCAAATAGCGGCAAGTCTAAAACTAGCGATCATTCCAAAGAGAATGAAACGACTACAGCCACGACCTCCATGTTGGTTAATACCAACTAAAAAAAACAACCACCATGGAGGGTATGACGTCATCTGAAGCTAGCGATCGTTGCTCTTGTTATATTTTCTTTAAGGCCGGTTTAGACGGCACGATTTTAGCCTGCAACACGCTCGCGTCTATCGTAGGGGAGTTGTAGTGATTTACACGCTACGACTCGAGTTGTAGGATGGCGCGAGCGTGTTGTATACGATAGTTGTAGGCGAAAATCGTACCTTCTTAGAATGACCACCGTGTTGGTTGATATCAGCAAGAAAAACGAACCACCAAAATGGCGGATATGACGTCATCTGGAACTAGCGATCATCCTAGAGTGACCACAGTAAATCCGTGAAACTTTAGTAATACTAAATAGCACAATTTCATGCAAATTCCATTGTTTTCTATTGTTTAACTAGCACTATTTTGTACTATTTAGTAATTATGGTTTCACGGATTTACTGTGGTCACTCTAAAGAGAATATAATGACAAAAGCAACAACCGCCATTTTGGTTGACATCAGCAAGAGAAACGAATGAAAAGTGCTGTCAAGTTCAACACGGCGGCCGTGAACACCAACAGAATTTTCTCCTGGTTTTTAACAAACTTTGAACACAACACCACACCATGTTAAACCACCTTTAAATTTTAATATTTGAAAATGACCTAGAACTTTCCATGATATACACACTTTAGTTATTCTACATTAACTGCTTACAATTTTACAAGACAATTTCATGATACATATAATATATATCTTAATAAACAATGCTGATAGGATATTAGCTACAAAATTGAGTACGATTCAACTCACTCAATTTCTAACTGATTACGTCAGTCGTACGAGTTTGGTCACGTGCTCACTTTACAGAGCAATTCATATTTAGAATTAAAATTACAAACGGTTCGCTTCGTGAACCAAAACGGTTTCCTTATTTAAACTATACAAAGTTCTTTATTTATTATCAACAAATTATTAATTGATCCTTGAGTTCATTTCACAGTAATTCATGTATAGAGTACATATTATTAACATGATTTATAAGAATTAAAGCACCCACAAAAACATGCCTTATTCAATTTTTTTTATACTTTACAATGTGCACAAAATTTAATCATAATAAATTGGTCCAAAAGAAGGGAAAATAACCCTAGTGAATCTAAAAAAATCTAAAACTCGTAAAAAACCTTGGAATCTTTGAAACCATAACAACGCACTCAACAATGCTATAAAACTTTATCTGAATAAATTCGATTTTATAACCCCAAAATGCGCCATATTTAATGACGTAATACATATACTAAAATCTAATTGGTTTGTCGAGTCACGTGCGTACTAGGAATTGTTGCTGATTACAAGGTTTGTTAGACTATAGAATGGAGGTAAAGAATAATTTGATTCTCTCAGGTTATACTTCCTTGCCTAAATTTAATACACGAAAAACCGTCTAAGACAAAGAAATTCCTGTAAAGTTCGATATTTGCACCATGTTTTGTACAGATAGTGAATATTCTATAACATCGTTACAAAACTTCCCAACCGACTCCCTTCATTTACATAATGTACACATTTACAGGCCGGCTCATGCGACGCACTCTTGGGCTTATCTCTTATTTATACTTTGATACATCACTTCTAATTTTAGATTTCTGTACTTCGTAGCTGTATATTTCAAATGGAAAACACACCTAGAATTATTTTGGTCCAAGTCAACTTAGCAGACTATTCATTTTTCTATTATCACAGGAATCAATCATCATTATTATTTCATTGTTTCTATGCAATGCCAAGTGTTTTGAATATCGAGACATTTAAGGCAATCTCCCTACACTCTCTGAGGTAACTATCCTTAAGTTGTCATTAACAGCAACTACAAGGGCTAGGGTGCTTTATATATTAGTGCATGGAGTGGAGGGGCTTACATTCTTGAGAGAAGCTTTAAATTTTGCACAAAAATGTCAGGGACTTTTGATAGGCTTGAAAGTAAAATGCTTGCCCAACATGAAGGGCAGGTTTTAATTAAAGTAGAAATCAAATGGTTTGCAGCCCCCAATGTACTAATAATTAAAGCCCCTTGGAGGAGAAAGACTCATTTGAAGATGGGGTACGGGAATAGTCTCCTTTGCAGCCGTTCTTAGTGTCTGTCCTAAACTTCCTCCACACTAACTTAGTAGGGAGGGAGGTTCTGAACGACACTCAGAACGGCTGCAAAGGAGAATAGTACAGGAATGTCATGTTTGTAAGCTACAAAGGTCATTGTGTAAATGAACTTTAAGTGTCTACCTAATGTATTGACTAACTATGTTAGGTTAAAAGATCCCATAAAACAATCCAACCTTCTTTTCTTTCCCCCTAAAAGCTTATTATCTAGCCCTAAAATACTAAGGCTAAAATGTAAAAGGTAAGGTTAATCCTACAAGAACTAGAACTAGAACTAAGTCGAAAAGCAGCCTCTGCTGGGTTGACTTGGAATACAATAAAAATATAAGTATTTGTGGCGTATGACGCTGATTCAAAAAAGCCATGGCATGGCAGGGAAAATTCTTACTTACAATACTGAAAAAGCTGTAAATAATTTGTACGGAAAAATCGATTTTACAGTTATACATGTGCTCAACTTACAGTAATATTACAGTAAATACAAGTTAGGACAATACTTTTGTTAGAAAAGTAAAATATATATTACTTCTTAAAAATCATATTAGATTATATTCCTAGATACTGGGTTGCAATTAATTCTGATTCTTCTTCCTATGTAAATATATTCAATCCGACGAAATCTACAATCAATATTCTAGGAGCACTGTTGGGATCCCTGTGGTATGGGCTATGAAAAAAGGCGCACTTTTGATCACGTGAAGTCGTTTTTCTACAATAAGTGTACTTTAAGAAATAATATCTAAAGCTGCATCGACTGCACTACTAAAATATTTAACGAGTGCACGCTCATTATAACTCCCGCTTAAAAGTTATTGAATAAGCAACTGGTCACATATAGTAGCAGGAAGAGGGGGAGGAAGACAGGGAGGAAGAGCAGACAGGTGCAAGAATTAGGGCATTAACCTAAAGGGTGGCGACTGGAGAAAACTGAATCAACACTGATTTGAAAGTTAAGGTGAAAATAATTTGACTGGATGAAGACCAAGAGTCAAGGTAGAACAGATAGCATTTGTATAGGAGAGTTACGTGATTTTCATCCCTCAATCTCCACCCCTCCCCTGCTGTTACCAGTCCATTAAGATCAATGGATAAATGTAGAAAAAATGGGAAGCTAACCATGATAGCCGGCCTAGAGCAGCTGTCCATTGCTCAGAGGCATGTAATCAGGTGTTGGCTTGATAGTCACGTAGTACTTGTCCAGTTTGGCCAGGATGTGCTTGCCATAGGTATATTTCCGTAGAGTAGCCACATGTGGGCGGATGCGATGGACCAGGAGCTTGCGCTGGACAGGTTCTGCTACGTCAATCATTTTTTGTACCACATAATTTGCATACTGGTCCTTCATCATTGTGTACAGTGCAGAGTGTTGACTAGAAAAATGAAAAGTAAAATTGTTAAGCTTTGATGAAAATCAAAGAAACTTTGTAAGAAACCCTAGTATTCCCCAGAACGACTCAGTTTGCAGAATATTATACCCCTTCTGTCCACACGTATCCAGTGAATACACCACTTAAAAACGCAACTTTTCAAAAACGGATAAGCGTGGACGGCCAAACGATTCGAATACGCTGCGTGTGGACGAGAATTGTTTTGAAAATAAAAATATATATATTAAAAAAATAAAAAANGAACTGGGAGACAATCAGTCTACTCTTATACGAATAATTCAACAGGTTCTTTTATGTCCCCCATTTACTGTAGGTTAGGAAGGGTTGGGAGACAGGGCCTACGGTTTTAAGTCCTTGTCCGAGAAGACTTGAAGGTCTAGCCATTTGCAGATATTAATCACTTACCCATCTGAGGTGTTGCATACTTCATCGATAAGCATTGCTCGTTCAGCACGTGAAGCAAAACTAAAAAAAAAAAGAAGAAAGAAAATCCGGATACATGTGTACGAGGCGTTATTCGTTACCCGAGAAGACTTGAAGGTCTAGCCATTTGCAGAGTTGAATCACTTACCCATCTGAGGTGTTGCATACTTCATCGATAAGCATTGCTCGTTCAGCACGTGAAGCAAAACTAACACACTTCTCAACTACATTACTGAAGAAAAAAGAAAAAAGATCATCAATGAAGTGCTCGCTTAAGCTGACTTGTTGACACTTACAACACATCACAAGCATACTGTGTATTCTCCGCTGTATAACATGTCTGTTACGAAAATTATCTGCTGTTTAAAGAACTTAAAACGCGCTCGCATGTCCCTGTACTGTGATATAAACAAGCTGGGAGCTTAGAGCACGAGAGAAGCAAACTTAGGAACACGAGTCATAGCCGAGTGTTTATCTTGCTTCTCGAGTAAGAAGATACTGGCGCTCGTCACTTCGAGGTCGCGTTGTTTTATAGACGCGCAGTATCGTTCACCTGATACAGTCATTGCCGCAAAACGAAAGTTCAAGGATCATTTATCGACACAAAGAAACTTAGATGACTACGAACCTAGCAAACTTGTGCTGACTGAGAGGTAAAATATGGCCTCGCAACTCCATGACAATCTTGTTTCGATCGTCCGGAGTCCCGTGTTCCAGGACATGCTGTATCACATAGTTGCCATATTGATCCTGTACGAGTCGTTCTGTCTGATCGTGCATTTCTTTCAGTATTGGCGTGGTTTGTTCTAGCAAGCAGTGTTCTAGAATACGCTGGATAACTCGACAACCGTAGGGATGAGTAGAGAGAGCATACACCTAAAATATATCAATAACATCGTTAGTTAGACTTTGAATTCAAATTTGGTCTCCACAATATGTATCTAAAATAGTCGTGTGAACTCTGAATTTCACAGTCTGCTTCTGACTAGCGACGTGAGCCAAAGCAAGCATAAGACAGGCACGAGTCAACGCAAGAAGAAAAATCGTCCGTTCTCTTGCGCATGGAGTTGCGGCTTCTTGCGCCGCTTGTGAGAACCAGGATTTAGATTCCAGAATGGATTCCCACAGAGAGACCAACAAGAGCTGACTAACTAGCAGCGTCAATCACCTGATACGAAAATCAAAGTGTACAGTGGTCACTTACCTGGCCTTGAAATGCATCTATGATAAACTGAAGAGCGTGCGGGTCAACACACTCGATACATTTCTGTACCACGTGATTACCGTTCTGGTCCTTGACGCATTTGAGCACGTGGCCGTCTAGTTCCATTACGAGTTCATGCTACATAAAGAGAAAGAAAAAAGTGTCATCAAAATTATTATTTTCTTGTAAGGATTAGTCAAAGAAATAAAAGAAAGAACTTTCGATTGTTTTAATTGCAAGGTGAGCAAGTACATCCATAAATATGTCCAAGTTAACGTGAATAAGAGAAAAGCATGTAATTGCATGATAATCGAAATTTTTTAATAGCTAAACTTTCCCTTTATTAAGTGCCAATTTGTCAAGCGAGATCTCAAAATTATACCCTCGTCCTATTTCTTTTAAAATAGGCGTCCGAATTCCTCTATTTTAAGTAAAAATAAAAATAAAATGAACACGGACACGACACGGAATCGACATACACAAAATCTATTACAGCGCACGCGATGTTCATCCCAACTGAAATGCTAACACACAGTACCATCAAGTTAAGATACGTCCTGCACTGTACGTTTTCCACCCTCACAAAGAACCTTCTCTTAGTAACATATCTTTACCTGTATGTTTGGTGGAATACATTCTAGCGCTTTCTGGATAACTCGACACCCATACATCTGCAGCGCCAGGGGCAACACATTTCCACGGATACAGTTGGCAAGATGATGTTTCTGTTCGTCGCTGCCAAACTCAAAGAACTTCTGGATAACATAGTTGCCGAACACGTCCGTCATCAGGCTGTACGCGGCTGGTAATATCTCATGGAAGACCATGTTCTTCTCGCTTGGGGTTGCGCGTTCCAATTTCTGCTGGATAAACCTAGACCCATGCTGGTCCTGAGAAAACTCCACGATGTGGTTGGCTAAGTCTCGTAGCTGGATGTTCGGGTACCTGTTGTTGCGGAAGTCTTCAAGCAGCCTGCTTCGCCCAGTTTCTTTCATTCTGCTGCCGCGGTAATTGCCCTGGGTTAGCACGGAGTTGCCAAAAGGTGAGCTGTTCAAGTTGTTTAGAGGGCTTGGGTATTTCTTTTCTGGTGCGGCTGCGAGTTGCATGTAGCGCGATAAACCGCTTGATATTGGACTGCCGACAGAGAATCCTGACTGACTAGCTTGGGACAGCAATGGAGGTGTCTGGAGCTCCTGTGGGGCGTTGTAAGAGGGCTGAGCAGATACACTCAAGGCTCCTAGATTCGGATAATATCCTTGTATACTCGGTCTCTTGTTGAACCCATTATATTCATTGTTATTCAAGACTTCCCTTCTCGCTGTACTACTAGCCATAGAGCCAACAGCCCCGACATTAGCTGACGTACCTAGAATCCCAAGACTATTGCCAAGGACTCCAACAGTATTGCCGTTAATTGGAACTTGATTCTGATATGAATTCAAAGAGTTTGGTCCACTACCTGACATTTGTTGCTGTGCTTGCTGGCCGTACATGCGCATATTAGAAGCGCCGTTATTGTTACTCAGTCTTGCTGCGTTAGCGGTATTTCCTGGATTATTTGCGGCGTTGAGCATCATAGGTGACATCATACTCAAGGTTCCACCCATCTGGTTTGCTGCAAGCTGCTGGGGCGAGACACCATTCATGCCCTGTGCATTCCCTAAGACTAAGTTACCTGACTGGTCATAGTAAGCTGTAGTCCCAAGTCCCATCTGCTGTGCTCCGGGCGGACCAATTATCTGATAGTTGGTATTTGCAGCCATAGAAGGTTGTTGGGGGTTTCCAAGCATATCCATCTGATTGGGACCCTGCATTGGCCGTCCGCTCACACCAGGGTTACTTGTCGTCCTCATTAACTGATTTGGTTGTTGTTGCTGCTGTTGTTGCTGCTGCTGCTGTTGTGTCTGTTGTTGGTGCTGCTGGATGTAATTGCCATTACCGGACACATTAGCAGCCCCTGGATAGACTCCCCAAGGTTGGATACTGTAAGCTGTGGCTGCATACTGAGGATGGACCATCTGGGCACCTGGATTGACCTGTGGTAGAGAAGCATTACCAAACATCTCCTGTCCTTGCGGTGTGGTGATATAATAAGGGTTCTGTGGCGGCATTGCTGTCTGTAATTGCTGCTGCTGCTGCTGTTGTGCTGCAACAGCTAAAGCTAACTGTTGCTGAGGCGATAGGTGTTGTAACGATGAACCTGAGAAGGAGTGTGACCCTGTGTGCGACACACCAGAAACCATGACAAGCTCAGAAGGACTCATAGGAGTGCCAGGGAAGTGTTGCTGTTCTATGTTAAACTGCTCAAAGTTTACCGGGTCCAGAGCGATGGACGAAGGGTGTGGTTCTCTAATACCAACCATATGAGGTCTGGTTTTCTCGTGTATAAGGTTGGAATGAGACATGACTGGCTGGCTGACATGGGAGACATCTTGGGACTGCTGGGCTGCGCCGGAGGTTGGCGACGGATCTCGACTACCTGGAGTACGACTACAAAAATATAAAACAAAATCATTATCTATTTTTATCAAATAGATTCAGTCGTTGCTTATCTTGTTAAAAAACACATTTTATAACCATCACTCCCCGGGGGTGGGGGGTTGGTAAGAACACGAAAAACAGTGGAGTCCTGTCATCTCTAACCTCCTGGAGACTAGTAGCCGTTTTAAATAATGGGGTTTCGAGGTACTCAGGGTAAAATTGTCGAGACGTAAGTCCACGGGATATGGCCTCAAGTTTGAGATATACAAGTAACATTGTGGAAGGCTCTGATGGTGCATTGTGGTCTAGCTTAGGTACAAACATCAATAGCTTATCATGTCTTATATAGTGGTGTATCTACCTAAGCTAGACCATAATGCATCCTGTTTATCGAATTCAGATAAGGCTTATCGCGACTTCAATAGCCCACTTCCAAAATATGCTTCGCTTGTAACACAAATGTTTTAGTATGAGGCTACGTGCTAAATTAAATTTATTCTTACCGCCTGTTACGAATGACTGAGCATTTAGCACGTAGCCTCATACTGAAACTTTTGTGCGTGACAAGCGAAGCATATCTCGGAAGTAGGCTATAAACGCAGCGTCTAATTAACGCGAAATGCTTGTAAATATGTAAATTTTACCATTTTAAAAATTCGCGTTAGTTTTCCTATAATAAGGTAGTGTTTTACTAGCAATAAGGTGCGACGATCGTCATCCATTAGAATAACAAGTGTTGATTATGATATGTAGGTAATGAAAATATATCTATGGTCTAGCAATGGTCGGTTTTTCTCGTTTTTTCTCCCCCATCGATAATGGGACAAGACTTATCGAAGCTCTACTTCTCAGATCTCATTAGATACGGCAAATTGACTGAAGTCGAACCTYTGTATCACTCAGTCTTAAATTTCTTATCCTGTTAATACTAGAATCTTTTGATAAGGGACATTCTCCATAAAAAGGAAATAATGAAAAAGCTTTCTCTTCATTTAATTAAGCATTGCCAAGTATAGATCCATCAGCAAAGAAGACTTAAAAGATTCCAAAACGGAAAGTTTGGAAATGCTAAAATAAATGAGTAGCCTTTCGCTGTTTCTATTCGTTTAATTATTGTTTATTTTTCTCATCTTCTACTCCCAAAATAATCAAATAAAGTCAAACTGTCCATATTCCTTCAAAATTAAATCCTTAATAAGTTTTTTTTACCGAAAAAAATTAACATTAAATATTAAGATTGTTTATACAATATTGGTTGATTTTGTCACATGAGAACAAAGGCCGGTTGGGTTTGCAAAGCTTCCCGCACTTTAACGTGGAAGAGACGCGAAGACACAGCTGGATTTTGGTTAAAAATTCTAATAAAAAGTTGTTTTTTTCCCGCAAGCATTTATATAACTTTGAACCATAGTTAATATGTTAAAGCGTCGCAAATATATTCTAGTTTTACGCATAATGCAGCTTTAGAATCGCATCTCATCTCCGGCACTTGTCTAGAAGTCCAGATTGCAAAGTATGAAACCTTCAGACGCTACAAGTCTCGTCAAAGTCAATCAGCTCCAATTCTTGCACGGGTTATTATATTTACCGTAGGAGATTACTGTTGACAGCTAGCTTAACTAATATAGAATCACAGATGATATTCAAATCTTAAAATACGCGAATTTATGTAAACGCTTAAACAAAAATTAACGTGTAAACCGGGCAATATCACCCTAAGATGAGTTCTATTTCGCTGGCGCTTTTTTGGCAGCTGGAATTGTTTTAGTTTACACGCCCGCAAAGCGATCAGGAAACTCTAAAACAGAACATAATTCTTTGAAATCAAAAGATTATTCCCCGCATTGCAGAGACCGGTAACATCTTCTTTGCATAATTACCGACTTTTCTCGACTCGTTTATTTCTTAACATACGACCAGAAATTTCAATTTGAATTCCAGTTTTTTCAATTGGAAGCAATTCTTTAAAAAATAATATACATTAGTTTTGTCTCGGTTTATTGAACGTCAAAAAGAACTAATGGTTTAGCGAGTCGAGATCCTAGTACGTAATATTCGTGTGATGGTCATTTGCTAACCAAAGGTCCAGAATCTCAAACCGGATTGATGCCGATTCACGAGTGCCGTCGATCCTCCGAACTATCGATAATTCTGTATCAATGCTCGAGGCAACGCTAGCTGGATCTCACCTATCTACAAGGTATTCCGCGTAGGTAGTCTCACTCTAAGTCTTACGATAGCTTTGAGTAAGATTTGGAAAGACAGTTTTTATTATGAATCAGCATGCTTACAAGAAAAAAACAAGGGCCATCACTAACTACAGCAAATGATCGGGAAACGCCATATGGAACAAGTGTACAAGCAAGTTTTTCTGTATTAAAAAGGACTTGGAAAATATCTCTTTTGCAATATCGAAAATCGTGCCTTTTTTCTCTTACCTTGTAAAGGCACACATGCAAGCTCTATTGGTTTTTCATCACTGGTTGCTAGCAACAAACGAATGACTACGATTATTGAGTTCTCCTCATGGCTTCATAAAGCATCACGGCGAGACGACAAATCCAGTCTTTCAACCAGGATGCACCAAACATCAAACCACAGACAATACAGACACCTATCCCGTCTTGATCGACGTGAGCGACGATCGAAATAGCGAGCGCCGTTCTCGCTGCAGTATTATAACTGGTGCTAGCGAAATACCGAGCTTTTACCGGAGATAGACAAAATTCATTAATAAAGGGCTGCAGCTGGTGTCGACTGATGAGTTCAAAGAATACATTTATACTATAACTATCTAAAAACGGGTCAGTTTTTTATTCGCTTACAGATTGTTTTGGATTCGATAAACCATGAATACACGAATGAAAAAAGCAAACTAGTTACCAAAAAAATTCAGAGAAAAATAGAATATTAAATTTAGCGCTGTAAGGACTGAAGAACGAGGATAGTTTTTTGATCCTTACTGAAAGATAATTGTATAGGTTTTTTCCTCTTTTCATGTAAATTTGGACACAAAAAAATAATACACAGCAAAGGCTTCTCGCATGTATTGACGCTAAACCAATTGAAAAATTTGCAGGAAAAATTGCTCGATGAAAGATGTGAACGCAAACAAAACAGGTAACCATATTAACTAGACATACAACGAAACTTTTCAGCATGGAAGGGTAATGAAAATACGAGAGAACAGTCAAAAAACTTTTAGAAAAAATATCTATCAAAATATCGAAAAGACGATCCAGCAGACTGTTCTGGAACATTCATTATGTTTATATTTTTTAAAAAATCACTTTGAATTAAACAGGTTTTTTTGCGAAATATGACGAAGTCGGAAGTAAAGACAGAAGAAATGAAAAAATAACTTGACGATTATAATTTTGTAGCGTTTATAGAAGTAAAAACTATGAATTTTCATATTGTTCTATTATATCAATTAAGTCAAATAACATAAGCGTTCAATAGTGAAGTGTTTTTTCCTACTAGAACTCAAGTGGCTTCCAAACAAATCGAAAGTTACTGTTTGGCTCACACTCGTTAATAATTGATGCAAACCGGTGAATATGCAAAAAAGGCCGTTGGGTACGGGAAGAATGAATAAGGGGATGAATGTACGAGCATTCTGGAGACGTGGGGCATTACTATGTGACATACATTGTTAAGATCAAAATAAACACATTCTAGGCATATTTTCCTCAATTTACCAATGATCTATAAAATGTACCAGACAGCCAGCTGTTTTACTGTTGGACATATGAAACACTGTAATAACATGGGTAAAAGACCTTTACCAAGATACAACCTCTTGACTCTTAATGGATGGCAAACATATTCGAAATTCCTTTTTATTTTGCATAAACAAGAAAATTACTAGAAATTTACTAATTGAACAATGTAAAGTTTGAGCCCAGAAATAAAGTTTACTATGCTAGATATCACTAAGAAGGGAAAATGTAAGACCTTTTTTTCGGAACTGTGTTATCCAGGGTTATATTTTACTTAGTATTCAATACTCTTCCCTCCCCTCCCCCAATATAACCTCAAATACCTGAAAGTATTGTTTCCACTGCTTTCACCTTCTGCTTTCTGGTTCTGTTTGGGCTGAGGGGAGGTGTGTTCTTGCTCTCTCTTATGTTGTAGATCTTCAGGTGTCTCTTCTTCAAAGGGAGATACTCTGGCATTTTTTGCTAAATTACTGGGCTTGGCCTCATCATTCCTGGGGGGAGAACCCTGGGGGGAAAATAAAAGACTTTAGCATATACCAGTTGTAATATATAGTTCTAAAAACTGATATAGATTCCTTTCAAAATTATTTTGAATGCAAGGCCGACAGAAAAATACTTAAGAAATCACACAATTTTTTCTGAATAGAAATTAAGGCACTTCTTTTGAATTATAATATTCTATTTTTCCAGATTTTGAATATAGTTGTTAGTCAGTTGCCAGCAGGATGGTTAGTTTTACCTTGTTTGTGTCTCAACATTATTTGTCAAAATGATTGGCAAGGCAAAGATCCGAGCAGACAAAATTCAAATCTAGCCTAACATTGTTTGATGATTTGCCATTATTTTTGCTTTGTAGAGCCTTGGAAAAAATTCCAGAAATCATTAAACATCAACCATTAAACGAAGAAATTACACCCTTGGGAATGAAACCTAGTCTGAAATGGTTAAACCATAATTAATGGAGCGGAATAATTGGTAAACCTATTGTTCTATTTTTTTGTTCGACGTTATCCATTGTTATATGACGATGGCCATGCACAGAGAAGGAAAAGTTGCTCCATTGGTCCACAACATTAGGGAATATAGAAGTTTTCCCCCCTAAAAAATCGTTTTAAATTATTTGTTTACTGAAAAGGAAATTCCCTTTTTCATGCTTTCTTATTTATCATCTAGTAACATAACTGTATCTGCGCAGAAATACTTATCCGCATAGTTTGTGGTCATCGAATGAAAGTTTTCACTTTCAAAGTGTTCATACATGAAAATAATTAGGGAATGAGTATTTTTAGCCATACTTGCTTTGGTTCATTGTGCACGGTCAGAATCACATGTTTTTATGGTTCAACCTCAAACGCAAAACAATAGCTTTGTTCTATGGAGTTTCCAAACCATTCTGCTCCATTTACTATGGTTAAACACTGCACCAAGAAGAATTAAATAAATAAATAGGATTAAATAAATAAATGGGATTTAGTAGTGGCATTTCTAGAGAGTAGCTATTCATCCACTGTAATTCCAATTGGAATTTAGGAGTTGATTTTTGCGTAGGGAGGAAAGCCGGAGAACCCGGAAAACCCTCGAAGCACAGGAGAGAACCAACAAACAACTCTACTCACATACGACGCCAAGCTCAGCGGGACTCGAACCTGGGTCCCATTGGTGAGAGGCGAGCGCTCTCACTGCTACACCACCCGTCCTTCCCATTAGAATTAGATCTAATTAGAAGTATTTCAAACTTTGGTTTACTGATTCAACTAACTGAAATACTCACAAATCCTGATTTAATGATTGGTGAATCAAGCTCCTGACCACCAGGTGATGAAGCAAGGACATATTCCACCATACTGAGACCAACACCATCAGCTGAACGAGGGGACAACACTCCATGCAAGTCAGAGTTATTACTATTATAAGCACCAGGCTTCACAGAACGCTGAACCATAATTGGTTGAGAGACAGCATGCTCTGATTGGTTCATGTGGGGTACAGAAGGGCCCCAGGTATTCTCTCTCCATTGGTCACCATGCAATATTCCTGTTGACATGCCTGTTTTTTCTTCTCCTGAGTCTTCAACATCCCAGAGCTTTTTAGCTGTAGATGCAATCTAGGGGGAAATGAGATATAAAGGTTTTCAAGTTTTGGTTTTTCAAGAGTCATTCTGCATTTACTGGTACAGAGGAACCCAAATAGTATGGGCACCCAGTCAGTAGACAATGTTCAACTAAAATTAGCACTAGTTTAGCCAAATATTTTATGCAAGTACTTGTGAAGGGTGAAATTATTGACTGCCCACATAAATGCTGATCTCAAAGAAGCACAGAACCTAAAACTCCGAAACAGTAAGAGAGCACTGTTGTTTTTCAAGATGTGAGATGTTTGCCTTAAGAAAAGTGGTCAACTGGGAGAGCAGTTTTCACATGACTGTGAAAAGCTCAGTGCCTTGAGTATGCCGTGCTGTGACCGTGATATTCTATAGAAATGTAATTGGCTGATCTTTTCTCATGCAATGTGATTGGTCTAACATTGCCGTTACCATGGTATTTTTCATTGGATAGAGAGTAAATTCTCGAGCAATGTGATTGGTCTGGTATATCCCTTACCATGTCAGGACTGTCTTTGTGCCGTGACATTTTCAGTTATACGAACACTGCTCAATGTAGTTTGCATACACTGTATGTCTTAAAAAATATTTACTTTAACTCTGTACAAGTAGTGAAATAGAAAGCTTAACGGAGCTTTCATCCTCAAACTAAGGACTTCATCAGCATCAATTCACATGCGTTTTTCACACATAATACTCAAGGAGTTTATTGCTCAGTTATGTTTAAGCATTAATACATGTACAAAGGGATATGGAGACACTCCGCGATTTAAGATGTGAGTTCTTGATAACATGAACATAAGTTCTGGAAAGATTCATGCTATGCATTTAGTCATGGCCATACAAACTCAGTGGCTCTGATCTTAGCCCTTTTCTTCAATTACAGGTTATGTTATTGCGGCGTCTTGGTGGAGCATTGCTGCCATTTCACAAGTTTTTTAAATAGCATCAATTGTTAACACACCAAAATGGCCACCATGTTTTTGTCTTTTGACTCTCTAGGGAATGCTTGCAATCCAACAATACATTTAGGCATAACAAAATGACGATGATACAATCTCAGTCCTGTGAAAACTGAAGTCACCTTACCTCCTCAATAGGTGTGTCAGCCTTCTTTTCATTGTTGTTCAAAGCCATGCTCTGGAACTTTCCTTCCAGTTCTTCATTCTGCTCATCATCCTAATAGGCAAACGAGGTGTCAGAACACAAGTGTTGATTAAATAAGGGTCCTCTTAATGCAAAATATAGAAGTTAAATATGGATGACAATGGCAACATCCACCTAAAAATCATTAACCACTGTTGTAATTGCTACGCACTGATTGAGACAAAAGTTTTTACAGTGAAATAAACTACATTAATCAAGTAAGTCTTTCTCCTTTATCTTCCAATGTACCTTAACATATTCTAATGATTTATTTTTATCTCATCTGATAAAAAGGAAAATAAGCTCTGCTAACAGGGAAATATGTCTGGATCTTCACTGGCAAGCAGGCAGTTTTGAAGAAATATTTTTGTGATTTCAATTTTTTTTAAATTGGGAACTTCTTTAGCTGAATACATTAAAATCCAGTTGCCTTCGAAGCTTTTTTAGGTGAAACCATCAAACCTAGTTTATTTGATATAATATATATTTGTATTCAAAAATTTTGTGAAATTTGTTCACTGCATGGTTTATCTCCCTAGTAAAGGTCACAGAGTGACTCTAGGAAGCACAAGGAATATGCAGTGCACCACACCAAACCAGAATTAACTGGGGGTGGTTTTAATTTCCAATGCCATGGTAAGGGAATAGACATCAGTAAGATGTGTACTAGACACTCAGCTCCCATACACCATTAAGACAGAGCCAATAAGGGCCAACCTACTGGATGTCACATTGGATCTAATTATAACTGCTAAGATACTAGTTAATATATTCATAGTCATTAAAGTTGATAAAAATGGAAACTGGACTAACGGCAAGTTGAAAACAAATGATAAAACTAAGGAGTAAAAGGTAGCGAATAGGCCATTTATGAGTTATCATAAATATTATAAATATTTATCATATAAATTGTCTGGAGTGTTTAGAGCTGCATAGCACTGCCCCTCACATAATAATAATAATATTTATTTATATAGCGCTAAATCCACTAATTGCTCAGAGCGCTCACTAATAAAAAATAATACATAATTAACTAAGCTAAATAAAAATTAAGATATAAAAATATGTGAAACAAAACGATAAAAACTGTACTAATTGTAAAATTATAAATTAAAAGCTAACTTAAACAAATGTGTCTTCAGAGAATTTAAAAAAAAGAAGAGACGTGATAAAATGAGATATCACCTAAAAAACCCTTTACCCAAAAATGGTTGAACCACAATATTATCAATAATGAAATTTATCAATAAAATATCATGCTCAATTCTACCAAATTCCATTGGTTTCGCTGTATGTTCAACATGGTATGATAATTTTAACTTTCAATTTCAAAAGAATTAAAGATAAGGCATGTAGGTTAACCTCTCTGTGTTAATTTTTAAATACTTAGACATTCTATACTGGCCTAGAAGATAACCATTATTCTATTCTCCTGTTTGCCAAAGGCTTTTTATACTGTCCATTGCAAATCATATTGTATTCAGCAGAGAGACTTACTCTACAGCTGAAATAATAATTTTTCTTTTTTTAGGTTCTTGCACGTTATAACAAGTTCAATTTACATCAAAGAAATTGATATCTTTAAAATCTTCGTAATTCTCATAACAAATGATTTCATACATTGTAAGTTTTTGTAAACCAATGATAAGTTGAGTTAGCACATTATAATAGGAAATAAAGCATTACAGCCAGTTAGACTTCTTCATTCAAAACGTGATGTAAATAAATTTAGCATGAAAACAGAGAAAATTTCATTGAAAAAAATGGTATTAAATATCTCTATTTTATATTAATTTTTATGGTTCAAATTGAAAGTCAGCTGATACAGTTCTAGCATGCATGAGGGAAAAGTAGACACAAAATAACTACAATTAACCAAGTGATAATACCAACTTGGCTATCAAAGGGTTTTTTTGTCTTTCACTTTAATTATTAGTACACAAGGAAAAATGTCACACAGCCAATTTGTAAATATCACTTGCCTACTGGACTTGCAAGACACTGGTAAAAACAATGCGGAGAAGGCAAGGAAAATAATCTATATAATCTTAAAAAGGAAATATTTYGTGACTTAATCCTTGAGTATTGAAAGGAAAGTAGAAATAAGGTAAAAGGAAAGAAATCTTCTTCATTATAACATAGAAAACTTACGTAATTACAAAGGCCTCGCAACTTGTATATGAATAAAGACTTGAAATACACTACCAGAAACAATAGAAATTTAGCATTTCAAATTTCGAATCATGACTAGAAACATGCGATTTTCTACTTTATAATTATTTGAGGAATTCCTAAGTTAAGCTATATATAATACTTTCAGTTTTAAGATCGATCGAGGAACAAAATAATATAATTCCTGCTTAACCAGTTTTAGAATGTTTTACTTTGGCGTTTTACATCTCAATATCTCTCTTGTTTTTCCTCACTAGGAAGTTGGGAATGATTTTAGGGGTTTTATGTTGTCGTACTGATGAAATGTCTAGCTCAAAAACTTTAAAATTGTTGCAGAACGAAAGCAAGAACAAAATATCACGAGCTCTACATCAAGTTCCGTTTCTTCGACAACCAAAAAATAGTTAAAGTATTTTTCATTTGAGCAGCTAAAAATCATATCACAAAAGGTAAAAAGCCCGTAAATGTGGAGCAAATTTGCTAAATCAATGAAATAAAGCTAAGAATTGGCTCCACATCTTCAGAAAATCATCACATCAAACCAACATTGGAACAAGAAAGCAGTTCAATGTGTGAACTAACCTGATCTATTCTCTCGTTCGAGGACCACTGACGTCCTCCATATCCCTCTTCTTTCTCTCCAACAGTCTTAGGAAAACTTGATGCGACTCCCTGCCGCTGAAATAAGTAGCTCGCCACCTCTCCATTGGATTTTCCACCTACAATGTCGAAGCCAGAGCTCTTTGGTCCGCCATTATTCGAACGACCACTAGTTCCATGTTTTGGGGCTGTACCGTTTTGGTACGTCCCATCTTCCCAACCAACTTCGTGCATACCAATAACACATGGAAAACTCATTGGACGGATCTAGACATGGACAAAATAGACCTACCGTCAGCAAGAACAAAGTATACTCTTAGTGCCTTTGCTACGACGCTTCGTTCGCAAGAGAGAAAGTGAGCTGAAACGGGGGTGTGACTTTGTGCTGCGTTTGCAGAAATAACAAACTTTTACAACAAAAGATACACAAAATGATATTCCTGAATAACAGATGAATCCTTGGATATTCGAAAAAAAGCAAAAGAAGATCAGAAAAATGCGAGATGGTTCGGAAACTAACCAGATGGAAGTTTATGTCAGTCGAGCGCCATACTTTGCATGGCCGCGGCCACCTTGTCGTGAAGTAAGGTATCCCAGTGTGCATAGCGGGCGCGTATGTAAACACGTGGTCCGTTGTTAATCGAACCACTTCCAGCACGTGTGCTCAAAAAAGTAATCGAATTAATCGATTTTGATTTCGTTGTATTTCTAATCTCCAGTACAATTGGCTCTCTCTATGAGTTCTATGAAGCGAGCTCCTCATAGATTCACATAATCCTACTTAAGAGAAATCAAATGAAATTCATATAGCTTGGAGACTATATATAGATGATGACCATTTATCAAGACATGTGACATAAATTATTCAACGCGTGTGTTTATTTTGATTGTTCATTTTCATGTCTTTATAAAATGATTCTAGAAATAGTGATTCTCGTATACTTGTATAAATTTTTTCATGATTTTCAATTATATTTTAGCTAGACATTTTCTGATTTTTTTACTACATAGTAGCTAAATTTAAAATAAGAAATATATAGCGCCTTCCAATTTGTATAAAGAGCTAACGCTATCTCGTAATAAAGAAAGATTCATTGTCAAAATATTTAAAACCTTAGAATAGAAAATTTAGAATTTATTTCTAAATAAAATTAAATAAGAAACCATTGTTCTAGAAAGTATTCAACGGAATACTGATCATAAAATAATTAAGAAACTCACTTGTTTCAAGTGGGGCTTAGATTTTGGAAAGTCAAGGACACGTCTTTCACCATGGAAACGTGAATATCTACATCGATAGCCATAGCCAGAAGAAGTTTTTGATTTGCTTTGGACCCTTGTACATAATTCCATCACATCGATATCCTGGATAGCTCCAAGGTGCCCGGTAAGGTGAATACTGATGCAGCTTGGACAAGTTGTTTTATTTATATAACACTTAATGAAATTTTACTTCCGGTTGAAATGTACTTAGTCCCAGTACTAACTCGCACATGCGCAGCATGGATGAAATCTACAACACTATCGTGATCATTTTCTAAATGGGATTTTAAATATCCCGCTTTTTTCTAAAGATGCGCCATCTTTATGAATTAAGCACCCTTTGGGCTGTTCTAGGGAATATTTTCTTCGTTTCGGTGATCAGATCTGCTGATGTTGATGTTCCAATAATTTCAGGTTGGTTGGAGTTACGTGAATTTACGTTAAAATCTCGCGATCGTCTACAGTCCTATTGCATGTAAAGTTTGTTATCATTCTTTTATGTTTTAAATGAATTTTAATCATGATTAATGTATGACTAATTTTCTGTCATTATCTGTTAAGCATGTGTTTTCAAACGCCTGAAGTACAGCCCATTGAGTCGAAACAACACGGTCCTATGAATACCTTGTAAAATGATCTTTTTGAGAAAAAATGTTTCCAAAATATTAACGAACATCTTTTTAGTTTTTGTATCATTTTTCAGGACTATCCGATTTTATGAAATATACTAGTAATTAGACGAAATAATTAGATATGGTATAACTGTTTTAACAAGCGCGTGTCATTCGTTTATGTTTTTGTTTGCCCTAATGTCAAATATCAAAGCAGGTCAGAACATATATATACACCGTCAAATCTCATATTCCTATATATTTTTTAATACATTCATTGAAAAATTGTCATTTAATTTTCGACATCATTGATCAAAGTCCTATAATAATATCTTGAATTAAAATTGTTAAAGTTTAGAGAATATGCCTTTTTCAGATGTTGTTTACCTTTTTTGCCTTGACTTTCTTGGCCGTAGCACTTTCTCCTTGTAGTGGGATAGTTAGCAGAACCATTTTGTCAGTTTTGGCTCTCAAACATCAATCATATCATAACAAGGCTGAAGAGGAAATTGAAGGTCTTCAAACTTAGACTTGGACGTTTTAGTGTTTTCCCCTCTTGTCAGACCTGTGGACTGGCAGTGTTTATGTAACTCAAATCCAAGTGTTGACTAATGGATATGAGACATTAAATAATTCAAATAAAGGTCACCTTTAGGATTGGTTTGTTTATGGAGTTATTACACTTCACCAATTCCTTAGTGCAGTCAACCATCAAAGCACAAATGAACTTTTTTTCTATTTGGTAAATTATTTAAGATAAGGTTCTAGATGATATTTCACCCATGTTGGTGAACTCTATGGAACAGTAGTTCCTCAATTATTAGTTTTGGTGCCACTTGATCCATTATTGTCATGATGAGGGAAAGCTAGTGAATGCTCAGAAGAATGACTGACAGAATAATGAGATGACTTTTGCAATCCATCCATATTAAAATGACCAAGTTATTTTAATTTTCAAATATTATCATCTTTGATTTAATTCAAAAGTGGCTGAAAATTAACCAAAGAAATCTTTACTCTTTTTTTTAACAATAACATTATTTGGACATGAGATATCCTGGAATCCAGGATTATTGATTTCAGCTCATGAAATTCATATAATAGCATCTTTGACCCGGGGTAAATGTAAAAACTGTGGATCAAAGTATATCGTCTCAAATAATAGTGTTGTATAAATAAATTCCATTTTGTGGATATGAACAAACAATGCGAAAAAAAGTTTTGATCAACATACAAGGACTTTAGAAAAACTGATATAACTTGTTTTGACCATGTATGTTATTTGACTGTACATTAATAACTGTTGCTATCATTGCAAAATATTCAGCAGCTAGCCCCCACCCCACCCCCCTACTGTAGTCCCAAAGCAAATTATTCTGCTTCAATGTCAATTGTCTCGTCATGGTTCAGTACCAAGCTTGATCTGTCATTCTGTCATTAGTCCAGGTCTCTAATGGGTCAGAAATTTTTAAAGAGTCGTTTTTCGTGGCATCAAGAGTTTTGTTTAAATTATATTTGATTTCAATAAGATTGAATTACAAACAATGAAAAATAAGGGCTCATAAACTTCATTTTTCATTGGTAATAATTCTTTTATTTTTTTAAATGGTACGTGTGCTTTTATATTGTTCATCTATCCAGAGTTTCTACAGTTTTGTAAAAAGTTTCATTTTTCATGCATTTTAATCAACTATAGAAATGATTGAAACTACTGATGATCTGTGGAATTTTACTCTTACTAGCTGTCGTCACTGGTTTAACGAAGCAAGAAATTGGATGTATTTAAACTTATTCAAACAGTATTATGAATCAGTCAGCTTTATATAATTATTATAGAAAACTGAATTACAAATAATTTATATCAAATTTATCAGGATCCATACGAATTTATATTATAATTTTTCATTCTGGAAGGGATATAGACTATAATTGTTTTCATTTTTTCACTTACATAAATTATCTTGATGTTTTAAATTCTAGATCTTTTATATTTCCCAGATTTTATTCGATATAAAGCAGCTAACTGTATTGTGGAAATGATGATTGATAAAATAAAGATACAATTTTTGGGAATGTGCTATAGAAGAACATCTTTATGTAGCAAAGTGAACTTGAACCAACGTTTTTCAGTCTTATTTTATAGTTTAGCGCATGCTAGTACAAAGTTTTAAAAATAACGTGATTGTATTGTGAGCAGACACACAAGAAAGATCATTGTATTTTGAAGACAAACAGAAACTCTGTCTTTTTATTTTGTCATTTCTGGTAGAGTTGGTTTTATTTTCTGATGTSTAACTCCTTTGTGGGAGTTAAGGAATCTACTGGATTTTCATTGTGTAATAAAGTCAGGAAGTCCAAAATGCAAGTTTTTCCTGAGCCATTTAACTGGTCACATTTATTAAATTATTTATTACATTTTTTTGTCATTTGACTTTCAGTGATAAATTGATGGAAAAATGAAGTCTTAATACTTTTTCTTTGGATATATCTTTGTATAGGTGACACAATATGTATGTAATGGTGTATGTAATGCAATATTATAAAAACCTATTGTATTGTTTGTTAGCTTCGTTGTATTGTTTGTTAACTTGGAGTCTTGTCGTGGTTATAGAATTACTTAGACTGTGTCCTCTACACAAAGTAAGAACTCTTTCTAGTTTGCACATTGTTAGACATGACTGTTAGATTGTTAGATCCACGTGAATATTACATCATGAATAATGATGATGATGATGATGATGGGTGGTGATGATGATGGTGATGGTAATGTTGATGATGATGAAGATTATAATGATGAAGATGATGATGAAGATGATGATAATGAAAGTCACTTGAAAGGAGGTATAGAAGGAGAAACAGTAAGAAACAACAGCTTTAGAATTATGAAATTCATTTTCTTGCAGATACTCTATTGTGCAGACAATGTGGCCATGAAGTAACATCAAGTGAACACTTATATAACATTGGAAGTAAACTTGCCCTGGCTCAGAGAAATGACACTATAATTGGCAATAGACAATGCCTTATACAAATGTTTAAAAACCCAAATGGTAATAGTCACATTCAGAGATAATTATTATCCAAATTTTTCTTTTTTGAAATTGCTTGCGCTAAATGATTACATTCCCATTCTGTAGATGATCCTTTGAAGTGGCAGAAAAGCATTGACCATTTTATTTTTTATTTTTCCAACACCCAGTTCAAGATTGTGTAATCCAATGATTCATATCATTTGTAAAGTGCAATATTACACAGAGCAATTTTCTCTTCAACTTGTCTCACAACAGCATTGCAACAGTTAGATGGAGCATTGTAGCGTGTAACCTACAGTGCAATTTGGAAAATATGGTGCGGGACAAGTGGCAGCAATTGTTGCGAAAAGTAGAATTTGTTTCTACTTTTGACAAAGATTGTGACTCCGTTGCACTGCATAAACCCTGCGTAAACTTGTGTCGCAATGCTGTTGTGAAACAAGTTGCAGAGAAAATTGCTCAAAGGAAATTTAAAGTTTCCCAGGGGTTGTCAAATCATCTTTTTTAATAAAGTACTAGTTGTTAATTTTGTCATAATAATTTGCAGGTCACCATTTTGAATTGATAACAACCAAGAAAGCATCCATCCAACCACTAGGAAATGTAAGACTATCACTTGGCTTGAAACTATAGAATGACACATGTATACCATTGGGTGTGTGTCTTGGGGTAGGGGGGGAAGGCTAACAAGGGCAGTTTTTATTAAAGATTTTTCTCTTTATCTTAATTTGTTCAAATAATAACTGAGGTGCCTAAGAGTGTTTTTCTTGTCACTCTTTGTCATAAATATTTTACAAATCATGAGAACAAAGTCAGTATGATCAAATGAGGATTTCAATAGGTTATCATTATTTTACCAAATGCTAATAGTCTTTCCTCTTTTTGACTTATACTAGGCATTTTTAGAGCATTCCTGGTTTCCAGAGTTTGCCTGGAGGGTTGCAGTTTGTCCACAATGTGGCAGTCATTTAGGATGGTAGGTACATGTGATTTAGTTTAGGCTAAGATCTCAAAGTACCATTGGTAGCTTACATGTAGAACTATGAATAGAGGAATCTAGCCTTTATATAGTCGAAGTTGTCCTTAGAAAGTACCATTGTTTTCGTTGCCATTAATAATTAACTGATTGTTTGGTACATTTTGTAGGAGTTTTGAGGATCCAAATCATAAGCATAAAGATGAAAAATCAAAGCAAGCAAATGGACAGAAAAAGACTAAAACGCCATACTCATTTGTAGGACTAATATTCCCAAATCTCATTAAGGAAAACTGTAAGTTATTGAAAGAAAAAACATAGAAATGATTGCTCCATGGGCAGATGCAGGATTTTCACTAGGTGGCTTGAACTGGTGAACTGAACCCCCCCMAAAAAAACTGTTATTTGGCATACTCGTCCCTTTGAGAAATGATTTAGGATTTCCTAGGGAATTATAGGACTTCCTATGAAGGAATATCTTCATAGGGCTTCCTGGGAACTTCTAGGAAATGGGGGTTCAATGACATTAAGATTTATAGTTTTTATTGGTTGGGATGAACCCCCTGCCCTAGATCCACCCCTGTTGCTCTGTCTGCTATATAAGGTTCTTATGGCTTTAACCTCTATCTTTCAGATGCAGACTCATTAATCGTCACACCAAGAGCTTACAGAGGATGATCTAAACTAATATTTAGAAAAATTGTTTTTTTATTGCTAGTTTTTCATCTTGGTTTTCTCTCTTTTTCTTTCCCTTCTTTTTTAAATACAGTCGTTTGCAACTAAGCGTGAACACCAGACACTAAAACATGTTCTAGCTGCCAGCCGAAACGTTGAAGTTAGTCAACCGGAACGTGTATGCTTTGTAATGATTCTTTGGATGGTTGGGCGTGCAAATTCCTTCAGGTACTTCAATCTCGAAAGAATCAAAATCTTTTTCTCTCCAGTACTTCATGCTTTCATTTGAAGTAAAGCCTTTTTTTCGAAAATGTGAAGAATACTGAAGGAGATCAGGATCGATCTCTTTTAGAAACTCACTTATGTCTACTCTTTCGAAGGAATCCATGACCAACACCAACAGATCAACATGCACATGTATTCATTGTATTTGAACAAACGTTGCCATCAGGCTGGCACTTTGGCTCCAAACCTCAACGTTCCTGTTAACTAACTTCAATGTTTCGGCCGCCAGTTAGAACATGTTTTAGTATCTGGTGTTCACGCTTAGTTGCAAACGACTATAATGGTCATTATTGAACATTTTCATAATAGGGCACAGATGGTAACATACATTTATCTTTTACTAACTACGTTCTTTAACATTAATGGTTGGTGCACAACACCAATACCTGTACGTGACTTCTTGTAGTCTTTGCTTGTGAGCAAATACAATTTAGCACTTTAAATTGTGAATTAAATTAAAAATCTATCAGCAATAGTTTTTGTAATAAACACTATTTACCACATGTCACAAAAGAAATAAAAAAATAATGAAAAATTAAATTAATACTCGATAAATATTATATTTTAATATCAGTAGTGCATAGCTTTAATATCAGTAGTGCATAGCTTTAATATTATTGCTATAACATATAAAATGCTATTAATATAAAATGTTTGCTTTATGATCTATAGTTTGTTTTTTCAACTTTTATTTACCATATTGACAAACCCACTTGCAAATTTATTCAAGTTTGCCTGAGGAACAAAATATGAAAACAAACAAATATTATAAATAATTTATGTTACCAACCTTTTACCATCTTATTATCTTTTATTAGAGCGAAGGCATTTAACCCATGAAATATAAAATTCTAGTCAACGTGTAATAGTCAGATAGAAACAAAAGAAAACAATGGAATTAGGGGGCTACTAAAGTGTATTAGGGGTTTAGGCACAGGTTAGTGACTTCACTCTAGTTTGTTACAGTGTATAGTGTGTTGTGTGTAAAATAGCATATGAGTTTTTTTTAATGATAGCAAGGATATGTAGTGCTTGTATACACCTATTTCAAGAAATGTTGAGGGGTCCAAGAGCTAAAAATGGGTAATCTGAGACTAAATTGAATTGATGCAAGTGCTGTGTGAGCACTTGCCTCTCATCAATGCAACCTGAGTTCGAGTCTTTCCGGGCTCAGTGTTGTATATGAGTAGAGTTGTTTGTTGGTTCTCTCCTGTGCTTCGAGGGTTTTCCAGGTTCTCTGGTTTTCCTCCCTCCGCAAAAATCAATTCCTAAAATTCCAATTCAATCACGGAATGAGGGCCACAGGTTTGTTAGCCACTGGCTATTAAGTGCTACCCTCGTGAAAAAAAAAAGGACGGTCGTTTGGCTGTGAATGTATTCTGATTTGCAGCGTGTTCTTCACTCAGATTTTAGATTTTTGATTTTTAAGAAAATAACAGACATCTTAAAGTTGTGAGAAAGCTACATGTATCCTACCTTACTCCATATTATAGTTCCATCAAGTCTCTTATAGATATACTTCATCTGGTCATCACTGTATAATTGAGAACTTATCTCTGAAGCAAGGGCCTAAAGATTAAAAACAGGGCATCACAAATCTGCTGTAATGGAACACCTGTTGTAAAAAAGTCTTCCCCTGATTGATGCTTTTATTAATAAATATTAATATCACATTTATAGGATTGAGTGCTGCTCTTGATTAAATGCCATCTCAGTTTGAGTGCCATATATGACAGCCAAAATATAAAGAGCACCACCCTTGAATAGGCCCCACATTGTTTATTTGTTAACATTTGCTTGTTATCATTTACAAAAGTTATGGTTTTTAAAGAGCACACCCCTAAAAAAGGGCCACAATTGACAGCCTAAAAAAAATTGAAGAGTGCCGCTTTGCTTAATGAAGTAAATATTATGTTACCTAATGATGACTTCATAAATTTTTGCTAATGACAGGCCACATGTAAATTGTATTTTACCAACTTACCATTGCCTTTGTCTTTGGTGATACAGATACTTCTCTGACTATCTTCATCAGAACTGATCCAAGCACCTGTTAGACAACACACTGTCTTGTTATTTTCTCACTTCTAAAACTGGTTGTTTGAATGAATGAAGGAAGGAAGGAAGGAAGGAAGGAAGGATGGAAGGATGGAAGGA